TTAGGGTTCAGGGTTTAGGGTTCAGGGTTTAGGGTTCAGGGTTTAGGGTTCAGGGTTTAGGGTTCAGGGTTTAGGGTTCAGGGTTTAGGGTTCAGTGTTTAGGGCTTAGGGTTAGGGTTAAGGATTTGGGGGGCAATAAGATTTCTGACCAAGCTGTCACTCAGATTGCAACACTGGTTGGTTAAGGGTTAAGGGTTAAGGATTTTAGGGTTGTAGGGTTAGGGTTTAGGGTCAGGGATTAGGGTTAGGGTTCAGGGTTTGGGTGGCAATGAGTTTCCTGACCAAGCTGTCACTCAGATCACAACACTGTTTGGTTAAGGGCTTAAGGAGTGTGGGGGTGATGGTTTAGGGTCAGGGGTTAGGGTTAGGGTTAGGGTTAAAGGGTTTAGGCCCTTTAGGGCCAGTGAGATTCCTGCCTCAGCTGCTACTCAGATTGCTGCCCCAGCTGTCATGCAGATTGCAAGACCAAGATACCCCAAGATTTTTGAGGGACGGATGTCTGGTACATACAAGGTCGAAGGTCCAAATGCTTCGATACAATCAATCACCAAATATTGACGTGTCTTCTGCGTAAGAAGATTCAAGATGATAGATTCTTGACTCTAGTGCGAAGGCACCTCCAGTGTTTGTGTGTGTGTGTCTGTGTTCATTTCTCGCAGCAAATGATGGTACAATAGTGCAACGGCAGCCAATCGAAACTCATCTGCATCAAGGAGAGACACAGGACTTGTTCCACGGGACTGGATCGGTTCCACTGGTCTGGATCGGTGCCACAGGACTGGATCGAAGAGTGGCACATCATCGGATTTCACTGATGGGGATTATCTGCGGGTCACTTGATTTGTTTTCTATTTCCTATACCCCGGGCGCGCGTACTACATTGCACTGGTTGTGCTCGAGCTTCATGCTTGGCATCACTCTCATTGGGAGCTGAAATAAGTGACTAGCAGAAGAGGGGTTTGAAGTATGAACCCCCAACTGAGTGTTTGTTTGTGTGTGTGTGACATTGTGTGTGCATTATTATACACTTATTTGCAGTTATTTAATAATTTTAATTAGTTGCAGGAGATGTTGAGAGGGATAGAAGGGAAACCAAGGGAGATAAGAGAAAGGAAATGGTAGGATGAAACTCAAGGGAGATTTTAATTATTGAATGATAATTACCACATTTATTGACGGACGGTTCCGCTAGGTCGTTGTTTTGGTTAATGGGAGTAGAAGATGCAGGACGGTTCCACTAACTTGCACGCGTACTTTGGGCCTGTTGAGCTGCTAGGATGAACCATGAAGGTTTTGAAAGTGAACTGCGGGAGGGAGATTAGAGGCGAGCAATCAATTTCAAAATTTTATGTACTGTACACTGTACAGATAGGTTGCTGGAGTGTTGTTCCTTTGTTGAGGAGTTTGTAGGATGACTCAGGTGAGCGAGTATGAGGTTAGCCAGCGGAGTTCAATTCTTCTGCATCAGGATCACCACCAGCTACTCTTTCTCCAACTGGGATATAACTTCATATAAGAAGTTCTGTAATTGTGTGATCACCTCTTGAGCAACGGTGACCACACATTGTATGCATGACCAACTGTATTGGGCAAGGTTGCGAATTGAAATGATTACGTGCAGACAGACACACACACACAGAGAGAGAGAGAGAGAGAGAGAGAGAGAGAGAGAGAGAGAGAGAGAGAGAGAGAGAGAGAGAGAGAGAGAGAGAG